CTTAATAAAATGTATTAACTCATTATTCACTTTCATATATAGTACTCATGAATCTTAAAATGCATTTAATATCATATATTTTGTGTAATAAGTTAATAACAGTTGATAAATCTTAATCTACTAATAATAGCAATGCTAAAAATGCATTTTAGGGTTGTGTTCTTTCAAAATTAGTCGTTCTATATTTATCAATTTATTATAGAGTTGCGTATTTTTCGAAAAAACTTTTTATTGTTATTAATAGATCGTATGGTTGCATCTTTGCATCTTTTAGAGAAAAAAAAAACAGTTTCAATTATTAATACACTAGATTTTAACCCGCGGCAAGCGCGGAATTAAATAATTAAATAAGTTGACTAATCGATTTTAATATATATAACTTTTTATATTTAAACGTATGACAAAGTTTATAATTTATAATATCTATAAATTAAGGTACAAAAATCATATGTATTGAACATAATATAATAAAATTCAATACTTTGATCAAACAGATGTTAATGCAATTAGTTTAACTATTTTTGATGTGTAAAATTAATCAAAATATATGCAAATGTTATTTATTCCAATATCTTTTAAATGTAAAATTGATCTTCATTATTCATGTAAATTATAAAAATAAGATAAATCTGATAAAATTTAGATTTATATGAATTTCTTGTATATAACAAAAAAAATATATGTTATATAATAATGAAATGTATAGATATTTGTAAGTGTGATAACATATGTAAACTACTTTATGATAAAGTTATTTGTATAGTGTACTAATCTAAATATATATATACACAATAGATAATATTGTTATAAATATGATAATAAAAAACTTGTTAATGTATAAAAAAATTAAAAAATGATATGGTAATTCTAAAATATTATATTTAGCTGGATTTATATTTGTAAAACATGTATTAATGGAATTATGTTAAAAAGTTAGTGAGAATATGTAGAGATTTCTACCATGACATATAATTTTAAATGAAATATAATGATTGGTTAATTTAAATGAGTCCCTTAAATTGCTATTTGAATGACACATAGGATTTTCTTCTTAGTGACTCCTCAATTAATATATAAAGGATATTAAAATTACGTATTCTTGAAACAATAATTTAACTCTACTCCATTAATAATAGTAATCTTAAAAATGCATTTTAAAATTACTATGTTTTATACTCCTTCCATTTCACAATACTTGTTATTCTATACTTATTTTCTTGTTTCAGCTTAGTTGTCTTTCTCTTTTTTTCAATTTAGTTTTTGTCACATAGTTCCAATTTAAAAAATAAATCTCCATACTAAAGATGGTTTGAACCCATAACACACGAAAAAAATTATACCACACTTTTGGTTTTAAATTTTGGATATGTCTAAAACTTAGGAGCTAGCGCTGAGCGATGATCATGCAAGTCCTCATAGTAATATTGGTGACTACCACAAAAAAAAAACTAGATGTATATATATTGGTGACTAGACAACACTATAATCGTTCCCATTTTTTTTTCTTTTTGTGGTCGTAATCGTGTTCCCATATAATGAGGGTAAACGTGACCACCTACCCAAAGTCCGTTTAAATATAGGGATATATATTCAGGGGCGGAGCTACGTTGTGAGGAGGGGGTCAGCTGACCCCTACAACTTTTATAAAATCACTTGTTTTAGTCTATCAATTAAAATAGTTGTTGGGTGATTTGGTCTAAACCTGCCATATTGACCCCCCTCAAATATAATTCTAGCTCCGCCACTGTATATATTTATATATATAATTTAATTTTGGTAAAATTCGATATATTCAATTGGCTGAATCAATGTTTTATGATGCATCTAAACGTTATTTAATTATTATGAGAAATTTTTTAAAGTCGTTGCATGGTAACAAATTTTAACAATATGTAAGTTATAAAATTTGGTGGACACAAAAAAATTTCAAACGTTTTAATACTAACATATCAACCTGACCATGCGCAGGAACTTAGATACAAAATATACAAAACGTAAAAAAAAAAAATACAAAAAAAATAATAATAGAAAACGTGATATACCTTACTACCTACCCATAAGCCCACCCTAGCCTACAAAATCCCGCGCGCCAGCTTCTCTTCCAAGATATCGAATACATCTATAAACACTTAAACACAAGAGGACTGTTTCCCA